ATACTTCGAAATTTTCGTATCTGATTACTTTGTTCGCCAAATCTTTGATCACACTTTGCTTCGCGAAAGAAAAATTCTTTCAAAATTAATGAAACTTTCTATGACATATTTCACATATTTCAAAAATTTTCGCTATGCATTTTGTCAGGAAACGCATGATTATCGATTTTTGGTATTTTGATGAATAGGACATGCGCATTCTTAATTCAAATCCCCCCTTTTTTTAAACTTCTACTCTGTAAAAAATTAAGGTAAAGAGAACCAGCACCCAGGGACGGGTACTTTTTATCGGAATATGTTACAGAAAAAAAAAAAATCTGATTTACCGTAATTTTTACAGCAATTACCGTAAAAAGACTGAATCAATCTAATTAAATAAATAGCATAAATTTGCGTTAAAATGGATTTTAAGGATGTACCAGTACTTTATACATTAATTTGATCCGGAGTTTTTTTGCAGTATAACGGGGCAGTTTTATAGAAATAATAAAATTGGGTCAATAAGTTATAAAACTTTCGATAAAAAAGGGTAAACATGATATAAAGTTTAAGAATTTTTCTTTTTATTCATTATTATTGGGAGCTAAAATGTAAACTTTTAAGGTCATTCGATTTAGCCGAACAGGCTACAGGTTATTACTCTGTATCTAGATTAAATGTGGTAAATTATCTGAAGTAAAATTATTTATCCATTTACACCAAGTGATTTTTAAAAATACGGTTCCTTTTTTTCGAAAAAAATGATAAAAGTGATTACTCCAGTGCGTTACACATTTTCAGGATATTTTTTGTAGTGACATGATCTATGATATTAATAATATAAATATTTATATTTGGCTCTGAAGCCAAAGCACAGTGCTTTCTTAAAGCTTAATGACAGGAAAGGAAAGGACTTAATTAAAGAGCTTTGATACAAACAAACATGTACTGCTACTTTTTTTCATTAATAGACTTTTTTTTAGACCGGGCATTAATGTGTTGTGTTAAAGGTGATAACAAATGTTTTATCTTAAAATTATTTATTTGCAGATTGTCATTTATCTAGCATTATTTATTAACAAACTATGTATGGTTCTTGATGATTACTTTTTTTAGCGTCAAACAAACTCCAAAATCACTCCCTTTGATGAATATTTTTGAAATCCTTATCAAAAATTAATTTAAACACAGTACGTACATTAGAGGTCACAAATTATATACATTAGAGGTCACAATTTACATATATTAGAGGTCACTAAACCACAAATGAACTATTGTTAATGAGAAAATCAAAACCATCAAAAACTGTTTGATTGCGACGGAAAACTTGGAAGTGGTTAAATACTTTAGTTTTCGCCAATCATTGATGTTTTAATTCCGTCTTCATCAATCATTCGTTCCGTCATCATGGCATTAAGTTTTACTCTTGTATAAGATAAAGTTGAATGACAAGGAATTTAATTAATATGCAATACAGTAAATAAGCGAAGAGATATTTTATAAAAGTATTTAATGAAAAATAATACCAGCGAAATATATGTTTTTGCGAAGCGTTCTATTTACATCTCTGAATGTTGCCACCTTTTTATATGAAAGTTAAACTATTCTCTGCTATAATAAAATTAGACTTATGCGAACCTTACATTCTATTGATCTAAGTGACGATGGGATTTGTATTTTAAAAAAATGTGATAAGATTCGCTTAAAAAATGTTGACGTTATTATATGGGACGAAGCAAGTATGATTCCCAGAAAAGCAATAGAAATGATCGATAGAACTTTTCGTGATCTTCTAGCTAATGAGATACCATTTGGTGGTAAGATAATCATTTTAGGTGGAGATTTTCGACAAGTGTTACCTGTCGTTAAAAAAGCTACACATATGCAGGTTATTAATGAAACTATAAAATACTCTTTTCTTTGGCCATTTTTTGAAATCCTCCATTTGACAATTAATATGAGAGTTAAAGCTGGTAACCAAGAATTTGCCAATTGGTTGT